ACCTGGATGATATCCCAGAATTCTTGACTGGGTTGCGATCTCTGCTGCGCGACCCGCAAGCGCAATTGGTACTGTAAGTACAAGTATACATTGATCAACAAAGATGAAATCTTTTCACTCATTAATATTTTCATTATGATAACAAATGAACACAATTTGAAGTTTAAACTTCATATGATACAAAATGTTAGGACAGAAAAATACCAAATCAGTGATACTTTATAAATGAATTTGGGACGGTGGGGTAGCCTAGTGGTTAAAGCGTTGGCTCGTCACGCCGAAACCCAGTGTCCCCACATGGGCACGATCTTTATATTTTTGGTGTCCACCGTGATATTCTTGGAATATTGCTAAAAGCGGCGTAAAGCTAAATCATTATATCTTCATGAATTTATTTGGAATCTTTATGCAGTTTGGAACTTTATAGAAAAACTTTATAGATAACAACTTCTTTATTTGTGAGTGCAAGAAGAAGTTGTTATCCATAACGTTCGTTCCATATTGTACTTCCCAACTTCTAAAATGCCACTCAAAGAAATTTGGAACTTTATAAAAACAATACACGATGTGTTTTAGTAAGTAATAACATGACTGTAATATCTTGACATGTTATAGATTGCCAGCGTGATTCATATTCAAACACACGCCCTCAGTACCACCATGCAAGTGTTTGTTGTCCGTCACATCGAAGAACTTGACGGCGAAATAAAATGAAGTGGAATTATTCTGCTGAATACTACAACAAGTGAATAAAAACAAAATGCAAATATTGAAATTAAAACCTACTAAAGTAATAGCAATAATATCAGGCTATTACCTTGTTCAAAGAAATCTATCCCATGTCGTGTGTCATTTTGCAGTCTAATATGCAAATATGTATATATCATTATAACAAGTGACAGTTACTCAACTGGTAACGTGACTTTCAGGTTTTTCACATTGGTGAATAGCTCCATTGATCGCCCAAGATAGCACACCTGACAACTTTCTGCATGATGTCCACCATTCTTTAAAAAAGTAATTTAGCTAGACAACAATGAGGAATAATCCTTTGAAGGAAGGACGCTGTTTTTACGACAGAATGTAGGTGTATTCAGTGTGCTTTAGTAAGTAACACACTATCTGTTGACAAATCCGCCGTGCAAGATAAATGTAATCAATAAATCAGCGTGGTATCGCTCAACCCTATGATCGATGTTTGTTGTTTTTAACTCAGCTAGCAATTCTTCTTGCTGCACTTCCATACGCATATTACATAATACATTGCTACATCCAATACATTTGCCGTAATACATTTGCCACATCAACCCTTAATTTGTAATATTGAGCATTTACTCCAGACACGAGAAATGCTAAATGTTAAAAAGTGTATAAACCTATTTACGTAAGTAAATTTTCAGATTTTTTACAGCAATGGCAATGTGGGGTTTGATTTAGTTGACGGATTCAAATAAACCCAACCCAGATTTTCTGATGCGTGGATGGTATGATGACTGAAGCAATTTGATCCTATTTTTTACCTCGATATTTAATCATGTGACAATGTGATGTCTATTACCTATGATATTAAAAAATTTAATATCACAGTCAATAGACATCACATTGCTACATGACATGATTAAATATCGAGGTAAAAAATAGGATCAAATTGGTTCAGTCATCATACCATCCACGTGTTAAAACGCGAGAGTGTTGGGGAATTAGCTCGCTTGGCCAGAGGTATGACTATACCAACCCACACACAACACAAGACCTGAGTAAAATAAACAAGGAGTTTATTACACAGCAGTCACGGGATGATTTCGCATAATCAATCAATAATGGTATGGTTTATAATTAATTATTAGAACATGTTAACAATGTAATCAGCTATCAAAGTAAATAAACATCACATGTAGATTCGTTACACACGACACATACTACATTAATCGCGACACATATTCCAATGTACACAACAATAGTTCAGTACACTACACATCACCCCAGTGGGGTTCATACAATCTACATCCTGCAACGGTCCCAAACAGCATAGTATTCACAACGTAATACAATAGTTAAAATATCCGACACACTCTATACATTCTATAATAGTCAGAAAACAGTGTAGTGTCAATCAGTATTAAATAAACAATCCTTAACTGTAATACCGAAGATATGAGACACATACTAAGGGATGCCTCGTTCCACATAAACCTGAAGGTACTGCCAAGGGTGGTAGCATATAGTTAAGGTATTTACAATAGATTAAAGTTGACATAGAATAGCAATGGTAAAGATTTATCGAACTTGAAGAAGTAAAGTTACATACCTAAGTGAATTTACTAGACAGCCACCCCCTCATTTGTGACTGTCATCCGTATTATATACCTATTCTAGCTTTCGCAGATAATCGCGTTTACAGATAAAACTTACGATAACGTTGTTATTGTGAACTTCAGATTATGTCATTTAGTTGGACCGAAGCATTGATGGCCAGTCGCGAGTATGCCACGAAGGTATATGTGGAAGTGACGGATCCAAGGGGGTGGGGAGTGGTGGTTTCGAACCCCCCTTTTGAAAATGACTTAACACCACATTGAAATTTTTTGGGGGCGTTGGCGGAGTCAAGGGGGGTTCAGGGTTTTTAAACCCCCTGAACACCCCCCACCCCCACCCCTTTCAAAATTCCTGGATCTGCCCATGTGTGGCACGCACGTGATTTGACCAACGTGGAATACAAACAGCCGTAAAGACAGATAAACGTAATGCACCTTGGTTCTGTTAGCTTTAGAGATACTAGTCCCGGATTAAGTCCGATGCTCGTTATCAATGTGACCCTTGGCAGGTTTAAGATTGAGGAACGTAGTCAGTTCGTCTGTAATATTTCCAGTTTTCAATAACACATATCGGTATAAAATATTGGTAAAACTTTGTCCAGTTTTTCCGTGTTAATACGCGCATTAGAAAATCTGAAAAAGCCTACACTGCGGGTATACATTTTAACCATTAGACTAAAAATAAAGAGGGTATTTTCAAATAACGGCATCTGATGGGCATCCACCGTTCTTATTGTCCCATTGTTTAGGCTGAAGAAATTCTGTCAAGGTGGACAGCTGACCAGTTCCCATGTCCATCACGGTCGAGGGAGCAGGGGCTGACCACTTGACGTAATTAGTTTGTAAGCGCTAAACCTTAATCGCTCTGGGTCGGTGCCCCTTAACTCTGAAGAGAAGATCAAGGTAACATTCCCGTAAATTGCGACTGCATTTTAGAAATTCTCCATGTTTACTGGCCAGTGGAAGCAACATGGGGTCATGTTGATACAGGCCCTCGTATCGTATCAAAGACACGAGGGCCTGTGCATGTCGATACATTGTCGCAATCATCTACCATCTTTGTGACGAGAACATTAAAATCTGACTTCAGCGACTTTCATGAGTTACATGACTCTCGGATCCTCGAAGGCCGTAGGTTATTTCTGTGTACATATAATAAACGTTAACGGTTAACAAATATCCCCATCGCTTAAAAATGCTGAAAAAAATTATACAATACCTGCTGACAAACTGAGAACACCCTACAAACGTTATTGGGCGTTGGTATATTTTAAAAAATCATCGCCGAATTTTATAAACAGATCATGCTAAAATCTTCAACTGTATCGTGTTGACCGTAGTTGGGTTTTTCTGATCGCTATTCAACCATTAAATATGCGGGGTCCTTGGCGCAAAGCACACTGTCACATTATAACATAAAGCTCCTTTTCTGTTTTATTTAGGAAATAATTACAATTCCTGGAAGCCGTGGCAATTCCGGGTAAGAAGGTGTTCCTCACCAGCATGGGCTGGTCGTGGGAGGCAAAGAGGGTGATCGGGTGATTAGGCTTGCCGACTTGCTTGTCATCGTATCCCTGTCAGTGTGTCAATCAATTGTTTGTTTGGTTCAAATTCGTTTATTTACCGGTCATCTTATAATTAGAATACTGCTGGGTGAGGAATAAAACACAACAAGCATTCTTTGATTCAGGTTGTTTGATAGGCGTGAAAAAAAAGGGTTTGCTATAATTAGCAAACAGTACCGGTTTAGGACTATCGTTGAAGGGGTGCCAGTCAAAGCGCCCAAGTTACAAAACGCCCCAGCAAAACTCAAGGGCATTTTGACCAAATTTGCTGGGGCATTTTGTAGTTTGGGCGATTTGACTGGCACCCTCGTTGAAGTAGTTGTGCTTCACGGGCGACGGAACTCGGGTCGTTAATTCACCAGTTGTTCGCATATCAACCAAACGTTGGTACGTATGAAAACAAGATGACAGTCGAAAATGAGTATTTGATAAAATAAAAAAAATTAAAAAACCAACAACCTGTAATGTTTGATTTATATATTTGAATATAATGATATAAGTCTGCTGAAATATAATGCCAAATTAAATACAAGAGTGTTGTTTGTTGTGCTAATTGGCCCACACTGCGGCCAGAAACAACCATGGGAAATGTTATTTACAAGATAATGTAAGAATGAGACAACAAACCTTAGCATAACCACTGGCCAGATATCATAACTGGTAGGGCTGGGGCTGGTAACCCGTTACCCGGGACGGGTGGGTAATGAGTAGGACCCGGGTATCCGTCTCAATACCCGGACCCGTTATGATCGTGTGACTAATAGATTAAACAATGTAATATGTTATTCTTTCATGATTAAAAGGCTGGAATTGTCATTGTAGATTTAGACATTACAGTGACTTCTTTTGAATATAATGTATGGTAAAGATATTGCAAATCTCAGCCTCGGAGCTGAAGAATAAAATTGCCATTTCTTACAAATTTGATGTCAGGGATTAACATAACGGCTATCCAGGTAGGGTAGGATAATAGTGGGTGGGGTATCCAGGTAGAAAATTTGGACCCGTCCAAGCACTAAAAACCGGTTATAAATATGGTCTCTGGCACAGCTATTTCACAATAAGGGAACATCGCAAGGGGGGTAACTCTAGATTCCAAACTAGCCCAGATTCAGAAGGCATTTCGGCTCCTCTTGCTCGTGTGTTGTGCAATTTTCTGGAGGTGCAGTGATGTGTGTATGTGACATGTATAAATCCCTTGCAAGATAGCAGCCTTGCACAGTGGCCATGTGACGTTATGGAAAGCTCAGGTGAGTTTGTGTTGACATCGCAACCAACCCGGGTGTTCGTTGGTCAGGCGTTATTGACTTGCTATGAGGCTGACAGACACCTGATAACTGTTTGGCACGGGTGCAAAAACTGGTTGTAGCTCTGTCGTCAGCTATAAGTAAGACGACCCGTCACGTGTTTTATCATTAGTCTATATCTAGGTTGGCGACTTATTGAGGGGCATGTAGAAGTTGTAGTACTAAGCAAGCACAAGATAGAATGAGTGATAGCCAGTATTCAATTGGTTGGTTTTTTTATTAATTTGTCCGACTTTAGTTGATAAAGAGAGAGTTTGTCAACTTGTGTGCATTCTATCTTGCCAAGTGCACTTCCTAATGATTAACTAATGAATTTTACACTTTAATATACAGACATTGTTACACGAGTGTGTCAAGTGTAATAATTTCTTTATTATCCATTTTATTCATCTACATTTGTGCAGTAGAACACGGTGAGCAAGTGTGACGGCCCTCATCATTGACGTCACGTTCAATTGTTTAATGACGTCACAGACAATGAAATACAGAAACATTGATTGCTAGGCAAAAGTGATGTGTGTACATGTGATATATATGACACTGGTTATGTTTCACCATATGGGTAATAAAGAGATTATTATTATTATTGTATTTACCACAAAAAGCACCCTGGGATTTTATTTAAAAAACACTGACATTGAGCAGGGCGCTTATAACATTTACAACCATAAAAACATATGAATTCTATTTTCAGGAAGTAAGAAGTAGTGAGCGAACAGTGAAAATGTTGATCTGTTTAAAAAAAGGATTTATGTTTCCACCATTAGGGGTACTTACACACTGGTCACCTAAGAAGCTCAACATTAGAATTGGTTTATCAGCCTCAAGTTCTTTTCATGAGCAATTGGGCGGTGGGGTAGCCTAGTGGTTAAAGCGTTGGCTCGTCACGCCGAAGACCCGGGTTCGAATCCCCACATGGGTACAATGTGTGAAGCCCATTTCTGGTGTCCCCCGCCGTGATGTTGCTGGAATATTGCTAAAAGCGGCGTAAAACCAAACTCAGTCAGTCAGTTTCATGAGCAATTAGTAACATGTTAGGGTGGTCAATCTCAGTGACTTTGTTGATACATGTCCCACCTTAGGCAAGTGAGTTTGTTCAAAATTGCGTCTGTTCACCCAGCAGAAAATGGGTACCCGTTGGGATAAGTGATATGACTATTAACCTTCTAGCGCCTCACAGGCAGCTTGGGTTTTCCGGGGTAATATTACTAGTAATAATCAGATTGGGTACCCGTTGGGATAAGTGATGTGACTATTAACCTTCTAGCAGCTTGGGTTTTCTGGGGTAATATTACTAGTAATAATCAGATTGGGTACCCCTTGGGATAAGTGATGTGACTATTAACCCTCTAGCAACTTGGTGGTTATCCGGGTAATATTACTAATAATAATCAGACTGTTAGTGATATAAGCTTACAGTAAATGGAGTTTAGTGCTTGATAAATGAACTTATTATTACCATCATTATTATTATGTCCCAAATGTAGAGATCAATGCTGATGATGTCAATCACTAGATTATCCTGATTAATTATCTATAGACTGCCATCATGAAGCTTGAATAGTGAATATACAAACTGAAGGGTCTAGGAGTTGGTCGAAGATGTATATTGAAGCAGGATGCTTAATATAGCAAGTATGGTATTCAGTGAAAACACTTACCTAGTGAACAGTTTGATATAAAAAGTTTGTTTACTTAACAAATCACATGTTGGGATTGTTTGTACTGATCCATGAGATTGCAGTATTTCTAAAGATGAGCTTCCCTGGATATCAGCTGGGTTGATGTCAAACCCACTGAAATCAAATGTAAATTTTCGTGCTGGCTGGAGCAAGTTTATATTTGTTTTAGACAAATGGTGTGTTTGTATTTAGTATTTCAGGGGTAATACTATCTATTCAGAGGTATATAATCACGTTATATACCTTGATTTTCCAACAGGGTAATGGAGATAACTATATGGAACATTATCTCTAGCAATTAAAAGTAGAAACTTATCATCATCCAAAGTATGTTTCATTATAACTGTCCCCATCTTTCGGATCATATGTATATATAACAAAAACATTTTCCAAAACTTTTCAATATTGGCATGTTACCTAGTTCTGGACAGACCTTAACTGTTGTTCATATTGGCATGGATTATAGACATTATGTGTGTTTCAAACACTGCTTCTTTTCAGATTTATGGCATGTATTAAAAGAGATTCTCAAATGACTACAAAAAGACCACATTTAAGAGAATTCCTTGTTGGTAAACATTATGAAACAATATATATATATTGGATAAAATTCTGATAACGGGAAGGTACAGAATCGGTAAGGTGTTATTGACCACTTTTTCAAAAATATAAAACACCCTCAAAATATGAATGGTGAAATTTGTCTCACTGCTTCTTTTCCAGGTATAGATTTAGTGTATAATAAAGGGGCCAGTATTAACTGTGTATTACTGACAGAAAGACAATTTACAAAAGAAAATTGTTTTGATTGTTTTTTTACCCATATACACTTTATAAATTGCCAAAAATAATTAGTTTTAGTATATAAAAGGAATATTACTTTGACTGGTGTTTTTATTTTTTAATTTTTTCCCTCCTGCCGTTAGGTTTTCTGAGGACAAAAATCCGTAAAACAAGAAATAAAATTGGTCTGGCCTAAAGTTCAAAACTGTTAAATGTGTAGAGATTTTCGCAAGTACACTAGTTGTCAGCTTCCTCCTCATCCCCGTCTTCACTATCAGCATAAACCTCCACATCAGCAAGGATTTCAAGCGACTTACTCCCATTGTTAATACAGGTGCACTGGGTTGGAACGCATGCTCATAGGCATGAACACAAGAGGGGTTGTCGGACTGCTTCTGGAGCTGGGAGTCCATTCATCCAGTGAACAATCAGATCTCCTTCATCCCTTGTTTTCCAGCCTTGACCAATTAGGCTTGGAATATGTTACAAAGACTCCACTTCCAGATGAATGACTGGTAGCTGGAATGAGATATGTGTTTCTGAAGAGGGTCACGACAAGAAAGAAATGTGCCATATTACATTCTCACCAGGGACCTGTTTTGAACCATAGAGAACACAAGTAAAGGCTTTAAGCGTAGAAAACTTGAAACATTCAACTGTTTACAAAATGTATTCTGCAATTGTGAACATCCCTTCATGATTTTCAAGGAATGCAATTTGTAATGACCAGCAAAAGCACTAACAGTATCGCAGCCAGTGAAAGCATGGAGGCCTGGCAAAGCTTTAAGAAACTGAGTGAAGTTTGCAGAATATGCATAATGGCTGAAGCTGAGATAGCAGAAACTGTTTTCGCAATTAAGATATAAATAATAATAGTTTTGCATAAAAAATTTGGGTACATGTTTCTGATGACTTAATCTTTAACCCAGTCAGTTAGTTCAGTTTTTCAGTATTCCCCGGTGGGACCTGACCTCTGTAAGTGCTCACTCTATCACATACAGGACAATGTCAGCAAGTCATGGTTGTGTGGTGCCCCAGAGCACCTATTCTCTTTTGGGACCAAATCAGATAGTCATAAATGTGGTGGTGGCCCAGAGCACCTAGTCTGTCTCAGCTTGGCTAAGACTTCCATATTTTCTGTAAGAGACCTTGAAATGTATTATTTTAGTAAGTGTAGGTAAATCCATGAATAAGTCATGACCACGAACAGTCATAGTGACATAGTTACCAAGCTCGCCAAACTTATTTAATATGGCTGACAGCAAAGGTAGAACATGTTGGCCATGTTGTCATGGTACTTGTGTACTTGTGTGCCTGGAAACGTCTTCCATGATGTCTGTCAGAACATCTCGTATCATGTTGACTCAGAGAAATGGAACAGTGGAGATGTAACAGTTGAAGCATATACAAACTGGTCAACAATCTGTTTTAACAGTGCAGCCCCAGTGAGGTGAGGTGAAATTGGGTTTAACGTCATGCTTGAGAATATTTCGCTCATATGACGACATGCATGCGTGTGTATGTGTATGTGCGGCTGCTTGTACTAGCCCAGACTTACGCTGGTTTTATAGTGCTAGCCCACTGACATACCATGCCGCAGTGAAGCATGAATACCCCACTCAGACACATTATACTGACTCCGAGCCGACCAGTCCTTGTTATACCCATTAATGTCGAGCGCCAGGTAGGAACCAACAAGTACCATATTTAAACGTCTTTTGGTATGACGCGGTCGGGGATCGAACCTGCGACCTTCCACTCTCCAGGCGGACGCTCAAACCACTACACCATGGAGGCGGTCGCAGCCCCTGTGAACTCCAGCATGGGGAGCAGACAACACACGTACAGGGACGTCTAACACAGACACTGCACAAACACAACATACAACTGATATTCCCTCTGTGCATTTGTAGACCGAAACTTGCAGATTACCAAGCTCATTTGAAAATTGCTATTAATGGTTATTATTTTGATGAAGTGTGACTTGTTTGTAGACATCCACGTAATATGGCTTAACATTACAAACTGCCACACTGAACAGGGGTTGTCATGTGTTGGTTACCATGGTTACATAGTGAAAGATGTTGTTGCCATCAGACAGTCACACAAGACACATAACCAGTAACTGTAGGAGGAAAGCTTAGAGGGAGGCAGGTCTTAGGCCTTTAACCACCAAGGGACGTTGGGGTAACCTAGTGGTTAAAGCGTTCGCCGCTCACGCCAAAGGCCTGGGTTCGATTCCCCACATGGTTACAATGTGTGAAGCCCATTTCTGGTACCCCCGCCATGATATTGCTGGAATATTGCTAAAAGCGGTGTAAAACTAAATTCACTCCAAAAATTAACCAGCGCGATGAAATGCTAGAAATTATTACAAACTAAAAAACACAATCAGGGAATTCCATCATTCTCAGCTGTCATTATTTAGTAATTGAAGTAAGGTGTTTGCTCATCCTGTTGGAAGTCCAGGTTCGAATATCCACCTATGTACAATATGTGAAGCCCATTTCTGGAGTCCACAACTTCTATGTTCATTGAAGTGGCATTAAACCTTTATCGAGTATGTACATGAGGAAATGCGCAGTCTTGAACACTGGTGTTTGCTCATTTGCATCCCTTGGTTGCTAAGCTACACTGGTGGTTAATTTGAATCTGGGTCAAAATGTACTCATGGGTTTGACAAACATTTTCAAAATCAGGTCTGCTTCATGTTCGAAACTACAATTATAGTGTCGAAAAGAGGCTTCAAGATTAATTCATGCACCCATTTAAATATGTATACCTGTGTTACAAAATACTATATTCAGAATCAATGACGCCCAACTTGCCCCATTGTCAGTGATACCAGAAACACTGTTTGGTCCATGAGAGTTGACAACATCCAGTTGATCTACATAGCACTGCACTGAACTCAAAGAGCAATTATATCCTGGCGGAAATGAGAAATGTATATAACACGTCATTTGTTCCGCTGTGTTGCGTTATGTCAACACAGTTTGATATAGTATCACACCTGCTCACATATTGATGTTACCTGTGTAAGTATACCTGTGAAAAAATCATGACTCATGTTTACATGACCAAGCCATCAACATGTTTGTCTGAAACGGTTATTCAAGATAAACATTGGCCACAATTCTTTTTGTTTCAAGAATTACCCGTGAAGGTCCAGGTTAGAATTGATCTTCAGTAACCCATGCTTGTCTCTACCTGTGAAGGTCCAGGTTAGAATTGATCTTCAGTAACCCATGCTTGTCTCTACCTGTGAAGGTCCAGGTTAGAATTGATCTTCAGTAACCAATGCTTGTCGTAAGAGGTGACTAACGGGATCGAGTGGTCAGGCTCGCTGACTGGGTTGACACATGTCATCGTATCGCAATTTCGCAAATCGATGCTCATGCTGTTGATCCCTGGGTTGTCTGGTCCAGACTTGATTATTTACAGACCGCTGGAATATTGCTGAGTGCGGCGTAAAACTAAACTCACTCACCCTGACACATAAACTGACTTGCCCTGTTAGTTACATAATGAGCATGATTAATACATAATTACAAAGTGCCATTAAGATAGTGGTCAAATGTAACATATCGTGGTGGCTGAGCAGGTTAGGCAGCTGACTTTGTGTGCTGGCCATTAGGTGCCTGACTCTGAGGGTGTGGGTTCGAATCCCGGATGGGACTCAACCCAACAAAAGTACTAGAATCTGTACTTTACGAAGAAAGTGTAATCCCAAATATAACATGTTACTTGATTAATACAATATGTAGGATGGTGGAATAGGAGCGTTAAGTAGTTTCAGCAATATATTCATCGCGTCCACTGATGCATAACTTTAACTGCTCTAATTTAACACTGAAAGTATGAATACACTCTGTATTCTGCATTGTAGCTTCCCTTCCCAATAGAACCTCATAACTGCCAGGTATCACACGAGAGACCTATATTGTTGCAGTTTTGTACAGATGACGCTGCTGTGTTCAATTACATATTCACAAACAATCACTAGTCTCAAAGCCATGGATGTATTTAATTAATACATTATATTAGATTTCTGCTGTATATTACACCTGTGTAGATATTTCAAATGTTTGTAACATGACCATCGCTACAATGATATAAATGTTTATTACCTGTCAGAGATAGTCACAGGGCTTGGTTATGGGACATATATTGACTATCAATTCAGATATTGAAAGGAAATATTGTTTTGACATTTTGCTTTACCTGTAGATGTCAGTTTCAATTATGCTGTGAGTGTGTCCGCATGTACCGTTGAGACCAGATACTGACCCCTGTAATAACAGTGGTAGCCTGAACTGGAAGATACGAGTGGTTATGTCATCGTGACCTAGATTAACAGTACACTGTGGGATATCAAGACACCTATTATCTTGTTACTCATGGTATACAGTGTTCAATGCTGCGCTATCATCAGGATGATGTCTGGTAATACTTTCAAAGGATAATGTGACATTTTTATAGTGTAATGGTGGGGTAAGTTTCAAGTCACCATCTTTTCTACGAGATTTCAGGTGGGTTGGTCGTAAAACCCTCCCATTGGATGCCACATTAGCCCAACCAGGTGAGAATCTGTTATCAATATTAAGGCCCATTGAGAAAGATAGCTTGAACTTTTGACCATGTCATTCAAATGTCCTTTCTCCAATGCAGTAAGACATTTTACTACCTGCTGGCTTCAGAGTAGTGGTTTGAGTAGCCGACTATTTAATGGGTTGTAATTAAAGCCATAAGAATTGTCACCATCATAGCTGTGTATGTTGCTGTTTAGTGTTTACTCACGTTTCATTTACTTTGAGATTGATTGTTTTCTTTGGGTATTATATAGTGTTATTGTCCATTGACTTTGCAGACCAATGAAGGAAAACTGTTTTAGATGTAACTGCTCACAATGCTGTGTCAGGTGCAGTGTGCGAAAGAGTTTCCAAATTTTGTGAGCCAGTTGGGCTAGGTATGCCTGAATGTTACTGGCCAACAAAATAATTCACTAGCCCGAAATTTGAATGTAGACATGGGTTTCATCATTAAGCTGCTAATATGATGAACATTTTTATCAGATTATAATCTTGCATGATGACTTATCAGGATGGAGAGAGTGATATATTTACAAAATGACCCCATGAAAATTCACTAGATTTACTGGCCCGACTGGATTTTTACTAGCCACGGGTTGGCGGGCCAGTGACTATTTCCCACACTGGTCAGGTGACTACTATTTGTATCTATCCATGTGTTGTCATAATTACGTCACACACAGTTTCATACATGCCCAGAGCTGCAATACAATGAAGGAAAAGTGTTTTATAATAGATATAATTACTCACAATGCCGTGTCAGGTGATTTTTATTTGTATCTGTCCATGTGTTGCTATAATGACGTTACGCATGAGTGTTACGCATGACAGGTACACTGTAATATCTGTCTATGTTGCAGTACATGCAACAGCGCTGTGTTGGCACTGTGAGCTGACATAGAGTTTATGCGTGTGTGATGGATGCATTCCAGATTGATGGATATGACGAACTGCTTTATTTGGCCCAGGACATTTGCAGTATCTTGTATCATCTATAAGTTGAAATGCATGTATTAACTGAAGACATTAGTAGCTATAGCAACAAAAACATCTAGTCTCCATGTGTACCGCTGAGCAGTTATGATCGCCTGGAAATAATCATTTTATGAATATATGTTCATGTTGATATCGTTATAATATATTGATGATGATGATGATGATGTAATGAAGACAAACAGAATATTCCCCAATGACCTGATACTACAGTGTCCACAGAACATAGCTGTATAGATGTGAAGCACGTGAAATGATGCAATTAGATCTCGCCATTTCTTCATATTTGGTTATCATGTTTGGCATGCTGTTTGTGTCTCTCCCAAAGGTTTCTTAAATCGCTTTCCATAACGAAAAAAATAATTAGGGTTTCTGATTATTGGGGAATTTTTTAGGTAGCGAAGAGTGAGCCAAATGTTCATGGTCTCTAACCAGTGTTTTGCTTCATTGTTTTTGGTTGTTAAACAATATGATTCTATATGTATTATCTTTGCAGGTGCATCTAGATTTTCATCAAGGTAGTTCAAGAGGCTGATACTTCAACTGAAATTCTTCAACCATCTTCAGTAGATTCATAAATCATGGAAAAGGATTTGGAAGTGAATGAAAGGACCCCCATCCTCGCTGACTCAGTCACCTGCAATCTTGCCATTGTGGAAAAAAAGATTGCAAATCATGATGAAAACAGCAATGAAAAAGTAGACTTTTCATTTAAAAAATTGGATCATAAGAAGAAGTTGACATTTGTGACATTAGCGTTTGTAAACTTCTGTGCGTGCACTTGTTTCTCGCTACTGGCGCCATTCTTCCCAAGAGAGGTGAGTTCTAGTTCTACAAGGATATTATTTTCATATTTAATAAATATTAGTGAGTGATATTCAGGTAAATATCCAATCACAGTGATACAGTGATGGTTAAAATCAGTTTGGGATATTAATGCAATAGTTGCACCTGTCTCGTTATTACCTGTCCGCTCATACAGAACAGACTACCATGCACTCATTTTGATATTGTCACAAAGATGAACAAGTCAATCCCCAGTTACTGCAGCGTGCCTATGCTCTTGTAAGGAAGGTGCCTCTAATATACAATCAAACATATTTTCAGGAAAGACATCCGCATGTCTGTTGAAGCAAGTTGTATTTTGAATCAGAAAGTAAAGAATTATATTATAAACAGATGTGTGTTTTCAGTGTATATTCTCGGCCCAACAAAGTTTGCAGGGAATGTAGAACTGGGAGCTGTTTGTGACAACTCATTTCTAGAGCAGTTCTTGTACAATAGAACTGTGCAATGTTTCTTCACCAAATTTATCACATGCATAGATCTAGTGATAAACTTGTGCCTTATTATGATTTGGGATTTTTTATATCTGTCGTTTTTGAGGCCATGTGTCAACAACTTCAACTAGAAATGCTGACAATCTTGTTTGCAATGCTGATCTTGGAAAATGTACAATATTTCTTCTTCATAACTGGCACATGGATAGGTCTGTCGGTAAACTGGTGCCTTTTGATAAATAGTTTATTTTTCACAGACTCATGGCACCAACTTTTAAGCAGGCTTGAAAATCATACAGTATTTACTTACCAAAATTGATAAATTGATGGGTCTTATTGTTAATTATGTTCAGTAAGCTATAGTTTCTTGTTAGTACATAGGGGTGGTGGGGTAGCCTAGTGGTTAAAGCGTTGGCTCGTCACGCCGAAGACCCGGGTTCGATTCCCCACATGGGCACAATGTGTTAAGCCCATTTCTGGTGTCCCCGGCCGTGATATTGCTGGAATATTGCTAAAAGCGGCGTAAAACTAAACTCAGTCAGTCAGTCAGTGTTAGTACATACTTACAGCCCAGAGAAACACAGTTGTTCATCTTTAATATACACAAGAACATAGTGTCAAGTATGACTTCAGTATAAAGTTACTGCATGTTGTAGAAGGTGGTCAGATGCCACTTATTGTAGTGAGATTCTTTATATTGGAAATACAGTATTCTGAAGCTTTTGTCACAATTCAATAATTTGTTGCATCTGTTCATGTTTCATATACTCAATAATCTTCAATGAGAAACTATGCCTCACCACACAGAATGATAATATCAGCAGTAATATTGCAATGTTAGATTTTAACGAAACGATTCACCCAGGCTTTACATCAAATTCACCAATATTTGTCATGACACAACAGAGATCAGGTATTAAAAAGTGATGCTGCTCAGATTGTAATTATTCACAAACTGGGTCCATTGGCATTGATCAGTATTTTCATTTTCTGTGTGGGGAATTGTCCGAGTGGGGAATTGTCGGTGTGGGGAATTGTCTGTGTGGGGAATTGTCCGAGTGGGGAATTGTCGTGTGGGGAAATGTCTGTGTGGGGAATTGTCCGAGTGGGGAATTGTCGTGTGGGGAAATGTCTGTGTGGGGAATTGTCAGGACCCCCATTTTTTAAGTGTACTTCATCATTCAGTGTGTCCAGTATTTAAGCTGAAACATCTTACGGCCTTTAGTCAGACATTTTTGTTCCAAGTACAATGTGGGGTGGTGGGGTAGTCTAGTGGTTAAAGCATTGGCTCGTCACGCCGAAGACCCAGGTTTGAATCCCCACATGGGCACAATGAGTGAAGCCCATTTCTGGTGTCCCCCGCCGTGATATTGCTGGAGAAAGGCTAAAAGCGGCATAAAACCAAAGTCAGTCAGTCAGTCCAAGTACAATGAAAATTGCTACATGAACAGTTCATACTGAGTTTGACCTCAATCTAACAATCAGAACTTGCTCATGAAATTAGATAAAACTTTCAATATGGCCTCCATGGCAGACATACTGTAAAACAGGTTATTTTTTTAGTGTTTCTCATGTTTAGGGACCATTCATAATTTATGATTAGAGGGGTGGTGGTGGTGATGATTTTTATGAAGTTTCATGTATAATGGGAATACCCCCCACTAAAATTTATGTTCAAAGTAAGTGACCCCCCTACATGTCATGTACAAAATTAATGACCCTCCCCGTAGTGCATGTGTACATAATTGATGACCCACCCCCTACCTCCCCAGAACACAATGGGTGACACCCCTAGGTGTGCCTTTGTTAAAATAACTGTGCCCATGCCTTTGATGTTACAATTAAACCTAAAACATCACAACAATGCCAATTTATTTTTTTTAAATCAATAAATATCAAGTAAACCTGTAAACTTGACATTTTTCATTTAAAAATTATGGTGAGTATTGTTTGTTTAATTTTAGTCGTGCCACCAGGGCACTTTGAAAATATTTCATCCGTGCCATTTGAGCATTTATCATGCCACTGCATGCAAATTAAGCACAGTTTCGATCCCTGTATATGTATGTGTAATTCATAGTGGGGCCAAACACATGTTAGTGCTTGTCACTGCTTACCTACAGTAATGTATGGTATATTTCAACCCTTTTTTGCACTTTGCACTTTGATACCCAAGACGAAGACTCGAGTTCAATTCCCCACATGGATACAATGTGTGAAGCCCATTTCTGGTGCCCCTCGCCATGATATTGCTGGAATATTGCTAAAAGCAGCGTAAAACTAAACTCACTCACTCACTCACTCACTCACTCACTCACTCACTCACTCACTCAAGCTGTTCCAATCTGATTATGTATTGCTCTATGGCAACTATGAGTGAGTGAGTTCATATACAATAGTACATTTATTCTCACAGATTTTTGTTTAAATTTAATTACCTATTTAATTTGTGTTAACACATTTGTCCTCGTATTTATGCAGACAATATTTGACAACATTTTAAAGTCACCATGTTTAAAGTCAGCACTCAGACCTCCTTCTGAAACCTCCTTTCTTATTGTTTCAAAATGGGCATGTCATGCTGTTTAAAAAGTGTTAAATATTTTTTTCACTTTCTTACCACATGAAAAAACAACAATATCCAACAACTGAATAATAACCATTTGTCCTGTCCTTGTTTCTTTAAGTCTTTGAAGTGATGGAAGTCGGATGTTATTCCCCAGTTTGCTGATGCTGGTTAAATTTTCAAAGGCAATACTTATATGTCATCGTTTTGCAGAGGAGTCAATGACAAGAAAGGGAAAAAAGGGAAACCAAATCTGAGCAGGACTATTTTTTCATTCCCAAACACACAAAAAATATGCATAGATTGCATGAAACATCAAGGCAGACAGAATCGTTTCCAAGAACTCTGCACAAATTTCTAAAGATTTAAGTTTGAGGAGTATAATATAAATCTGAAATGTTTTTTTGGGTGTGTTTTTGTAACTACCAATCTGTCTACAGACCAGGATATAACAAAATCAGTGCTTGTAACCAATCAGGATTGAGTATTTCTAGTAGTTCCGCCTGTCACTCATATGCTCTGTGTAATGTTTCCTATGTTGTTTCTTCAGGTTCATGCCCAGGGGGCATCTCAAATGTTGTTATATTGTCTCTTGCAGGCTGAGTCCAAGGGGGCATCTCAAACTGTCGTTGGATTCATTTTCGGCTGCTTTGAATTTGTCATATTTGTGTCATCACCAATATTTGGAACATTTGTAAGTAGTACTTTGTTTTCATATCATCACAATTAGATATTAATTTATTCATAGACTGTTTTCCTGCACATGATAGAGTATTTTGGTTTGTAAAACTACAATGCAATCTAGAATAAGCGATAAGGGTTTTGTTTCACACAGTCTGCATTACTGATAATTTGCCTCATCTACCAGGATTACCTTCCACATGTTTATGTAATGCTACTTCTGTCTGAATGTTCAACAATCATTTCTCAGTAGGTAGGTAATATGATCGATTGTTCCAAGACTAATCAATAATTGTGAACATTGGTGTAGTTAGTGTTGTCGTGGACAACGGGGAGACTTCCATTGATATACAAATGCTTTATTATCAATATGAGCTCATTAATTTATAATCAAGAAGTTGTATATCCATAGAACTCTCAGCGATGTTCATTACACCAACTTGATAGGTTGATTGTACAGGGCATCTGATTAAATTATAAGAATTGTTACTGGTCAAAGGGAAATAACTCTGTGTTGAACAACCATGTACAGCTTGTTCAGCTTGACCTGAGCTACTCTACATATGCATGACCCGGGAGGTCAAACGGCACAAACGGCAGGTCGAGTTAACTTCATTAAATATGGGGAGCAGAGAATGTTATTAATGTTGCTGCTTGCTGCCGGATAGGAAACATTAAACCATCTGAAGCTTCTTTTTTAAGTTTAAAGAAAGTTAGGACATTGCTGGCGATTTCTCGACACTGAGATGTCAAAAGGCGACTTTGTCTCGGCTGTTTGGACATGTTGACAATCAACTGACAAAGATGCACCCCTTCACAATAATAGACCCAACCAGTTGTGACACGTAATGCATTAGTATTCACTTGATCAGGTCAAGCTGAACAAGCTGTAGATGGGGTGTGTTTTATATCAATGATCAAAGCCTCTCTTGTTATTGATGAAGTGCCTATTTTATCATTTATATCATATAAGGTGCTAAAATAGACTACTTAACATATTTTAGAAAACAAATTCTTTCATAATATTATTGCTACAGTAAATCTGTAATGCTATGACAGTACCTGAAGCAAGGGAAAGGATCAAGTGTTTCTTACTTCTTTTGAGTACTATATTTTGCCAATGTATTAAATTGGAAATAAAACTTTTAAATTTGTGTTATGTTGTAGTGAAAGATTGGGGTGAGAATTTGAATTGCAAATTACATTTAAATTTCAAATTTGATAGCTGTATTGGACAACCATGACATTTTTCATCTGTATTATATTTAGTTTATTTACTTTTTTCAGGATATACAAAATATTTTGACTGCTGCCTTTTATGGTTAAGAAATGACATTGACATTTTCTGAAACAATACATATTGTGATATTGTTTTGTGTTAATGCATCTTCAATTAAAAACTTAACTTAAACTTTTTACTGTATATAAGACGAACATTTCATCAATGCATATCCATTCTTTAATTGTTTTTGGTTTTCAGTTAACAAGATTAGGACCTAAGTTTGTGTTCATATCTGGAGTGTTTGTGTGCGGATCATGCAGTGTTCTATTTGGGTACGTCATTGTTTGAACTAACCAAGATCACGTGATAGCAGGTTTCCAAGGGGAGATAACTTTTGAGGTTTATATTCAGTTTGATAAATTGAGATCACTATTTTTTGTGAAATTCACTTCAAATTATCAGGTTAGTTCAAAAGCATGCTATCTATTTCAGTGTGATCTAAATCATTTGTTGTGGGTATTCTCAGCCCACTGTAGACAGTGTTCAGTTCCCCACATGGGTTCAGAATACAACCTGTAAACCCATATATAAAGTACTGTCAGAAATAGAAAAAAACTGGGTTTATATCTACAATTTAGGTAGTTAATATGTGAAAGTGTGAAATATCTGTTAAACTAAGTTCGGCCTAACTACAGTCTCAGTGGGAGGGAGATAGGAAGCGTAAAAGAAGGATTTTACTGAGGAGAGATGAGTCCAATGCGACTTATTTAGAACAGACCATGGCTTTGTGCAAATTAGTGTGCGATGATATTGTATTACAAAGGACACTTTTTAAATGATCATTTTGAAATTAGACTTAGCTTCATTATAAACAATAGCAGACGTAAAAAATAATAACTTTAATACTGAAACTATTAAGGATGTAGCTACCATGACGTCTCACTATCACTATAAAAAGAAACAGGTAGGAGGGGTCGTCTCAAAAGCAAAACCAGGACGGGTGTCGCAGATGGTGGTTGGGGTCGGGCTGGGGTACTGAGATATCAGCTAAGATAATCAATAGAGACATATTCAATACACATGAAAAAGCATAAAATATCTTTGAGATGACCCCTTGTACCGATGGGCAGCATGTGCATTTCATGCCAAGTGAGTCGACGGTCCGTCTTCATACCTGGCTGGGCGACCTAAGGGCGATGGAAATACAAATTGGTCCAGTCACTCCATGTGATAAACATTTCACAAGAAAAGCCTCAGATGTCTTTAATGATCAGGGGGCAGTGGGGTAGCCTAGTGGTTAAAGTGTTCACTCGTCTCGCCGAAGACCAGGGTTTGATTCCCCACATGAGTACAATGTGTGAAGCCCATTGCAGGAATATTGTTAAAAGTGGCGTAAAGCTAAACTCCTTCACTCACCTTAATGATCAGACCGCCTCCGTGGTGTAGTGGTTAAGGGTCCGCCCGGAGAGCGGAAGGTCGCGGGTTCGATCCCCTACCGCGTCATACCAAAAGACGTTAAAATATGGTACTTGTTGGTCCCTGCCTGGCGTTCGGCATTAATGAGTACAGCAAGGACTGGTTGGCTCGAAATCAGTATAATGTGTCTGAGTGGGGTATTCATGCTTCACTGCAGCATGGTATCTCAGTGGGCTAGCACTATAAAACCAGCTTCAGTCTGGGCTAGTACAAGCAGCCGCACACACACATACACACGCATGCACGTCGTCATATGAGCGAAATATTCTCAAGTACGACGTTAAACCCAATTTCACCTCACCTCACCTTAATGATCAGTGTAACTATTATTCTATGTGCCTGAGGGTGAAGAAAGGTTGTCATTGCTCCTGTTCCTTTCATACAAATATTTTGGTGTGACCCGTTACAATTATGACTCCTCAGTTGACTTACGTTCTGTGTTACAGGCTATTAGATCGATCACCCTCAGGAACCATCTTCATCGTCATGTGCTTCTTGTGCCGATCTGTAGAAGCCCTGGGTTGTTCCGCGTTTATCACAGCCAGCTTTGCAATAGTGGCCTACTCATTTCCTGACCATGTCACCACAGTTTTTGTAAGTATGCTGATATTATATGTAATGTACTTTTCAACAATTTTGTAATTGTATTACATAGCTTCTGTTAAGGTGCAGTAGAAGTACATAACATTTTGCTTCAACAGAAATTAGTTGTAAGGAATATATTACTGCCAAATGAAAGCAGTACTATGGAAGTCTCTATATTCAGATGCTTTTCAAGTCAGGTGTTATTTGGAATCTTCTTGTACAGCTATGAATGAATGCAGCATAGTACGCAGCCATCTGTAGGGCATTTAGACTACATATCTCAACACATGTTATATTTGGGATTACAGTTTCTCTGCAAAGTACAGATTCTAGTACTTTTGATGGGTTGAGTCCCATCCAGAGTTTGAACTCACAAGTCAATCGCCTAACCCACTCAGCCACTGAGAGGGTTAGGCGTGACTTTGTGTGCTGGTGATTTGGTGCCTGACTTAAAGCATATGGGTTCAAATCCCTGATGGACTCAACTCAACAAATTTACTAGAGCCTGTACTTTACTGAGAAAGTGTTGTCCCAGATATAACATGCAGGTGAAGATCATACCATTATTTGGATTGATTTTCGAGCCCAGTTAATTAATAATACAATTATTAATTGTATATCATTTCCTTTTTATTTGTTGGCTTCGCATTGAATTCATTTACATATTGATGTCTGGGATAGATTGTTGTTTCAATTTGCAAGTTAAAGTGTAAGGATACCATGGTTGCCATTAGCTACAGGGGGGGGCAGGAGGAGCAAGGCGAGTTTGGTTTTACGCAGCTTTTAGCAATAGTCCAGCAATATCACGGCAGGGGACACCAGACAGACTTCACATGCTGTACTGATGTGGGGAATCTGTTATGTGATAACAATCCCATAACAAGCATGCTGCATTTATTCAGTAATACCTGAAGACATGTTGTTGTTCTGTGTTGTTTCAGGGAACCTTGGAAACGTTTAGTGGGCTGGGCCTCATGGTGGGACCTCCAATAGGGGGCGCTCTGTATGAGGTGAGTAGTGCATTTAATGGGGACCAAAAGGCTGTTTTTCCCTGTACGAGGTGAGTAGTGCCCCTGTGGGGCCCAAATACGCCCCAAAATAGGGGCTGCCCTTCTCTGTAAGAGGTGAGTAGTGCACTTAATGGGGCCCAAAATAGGGGCTGCTCTTCTCTGTAAGAGGTGAGTAGTGCACTTAATGGGGCCCAAAATAGGGGCTGCCCTTCTCTGTAAGAGGTGAGTAGTGCACTTAATGGGGCCCAAAATAGGGGCTGCTCTTCTCTGTAAGAGGTGAGTAGTGCACTTAATGGGGCCCAAAATAGGGGCTGCTCTTCTCTGTACAAGGTGAGTAGTGCACCTAATGGGGCCCAAAATAGGGGATGCTCTTCCCTGTACGAGGTGAGTAGTGCACCTAATGGGGCCCAAAATAGGGGATGCTCTTCCCTGTACGAGGTGAGTAGTGTACTTAGTTGAGCCCAAAATAGGGGGTGCTCTTCCCTGTACGAGGTGAGTAGTGCACCAAATGGGGCCCAATATAGGGGCTGCTCTTCTCTGTACGAGGTGAGTAGTGCACTTAATGGGGCCCAAAATAGGGGGTGCTCTTCTCTGTACAAGGTGAGAGTTTCCCTCGATGGAGCCCAAAATGGAGAGTGCTCTTCTCTGTAGGTGAGTAGTGCACTTGAATGATTGAGCACTTATAGAGGGTGCCCTTCTCTGTCCAAGGTGAGAGTTTCCCTTGATGGAGCCCAAAATGGAGGGTCTCTTCTCTGTACAAGGTGAGTAGGGCACTTGAATGATGGAGCACGTATAGAGGGTGCCCTTCTCTGTCCAAGGTGAGAGTTTCCCTTGATGGAGCCCAAAATGGAGGGTTCTCTTCTCTGTAGGAGGTGAGTGGTGCACCTAATGGGGCCCAAAATAGGGGCTACTCTTCTCTGTAGGAGGTGAGAGGTTCCCTCTCTTTTATAAAGTTATATTGCCTGGTCACTCAGTTGCAAGTTCACCAGACCTGACATTCTGTGGAGGTGTCATCTAAATGCAGTGAGAAATTGTGTCAGAGTAAAAGGTATATAATATACAGCTCAAACAAAGTTTATCAACACTAATTCTTTCATGCTACTGTACTTAATTTGTCATGGAATGTTTGTATACTTTTCAGCTTGGTGGTTACGGTCTGCCATTCTGGACACTAGGTGGCCTTTGTCTGATGTGTGCCATGTCATCATTCTTCTTCATGCCATCTAATGACGGTAGGAACACTGACCTGGTTATACTTATGTCATACCTTTGTCAAAACATTGCTGTATCATTACCATTGTCATACCTTTTGTCAAACCATTGCTATATCATTATCATAAAATTGTCATACCTTCGTCAAATCATTGCTATATCATTATCATACCATTGTCATACCTTCGTCAAATCATTGCTACATCATTATCATACCATTGTCATACCTTCGTCAAATCATTGCTATATCATTATCATACCATTGTCATAAGCCGCCTCCATGGTGTAGTGGTTAGAGCGTCCGCCCAGAGAGTGGAAGGTCGCAGGTTCGATCCCCGACCGCGTGATACCAAAAGACGTTAAAATATGGTACTTGTTGGTCCCTGCCTGGCGCTCGGCATTAATGAGTACAGCAAGGACTGGTTGGCTCGAAGTCAGTATAATGTGTCTGAGTAGGGTATTCATGCTTCACTGCAGCATGGTATCTCAGTGGGCTAGCACTATAAAACCAGCTTCAGTCTGGGCTAGTACAAGCAGCCGCACACACACATACACACGCATGCACGTCGTCATATGAGCGAAATATTCTCAGTACGTCGTTAAACCCAATTTCACCTCACCTCACCTTAATGAGAGTGGAAGGTCGCGGGTTCGATCCCCGACCGCGTCATACCAAAAGACGTTAAAATATGGTACTTGTTGGTCCCTGCCTGGCGTTCGGCATTAATGGGTACAGCAAGGACTGGTCGGCTCGAAGTCAGTATAATGTGTCTGAGTAGGGTATTCATGCTTCACTGCAGCATGGTATCTCAGTGGGCTAGCACTATAAAACCAGCTTCAGTCTGGGCTAGTACAAGCAGCCGCACATACACATACACACGCATGCACGTCGTCATATGAGCGAAATATTCTCAAGCACGACGATAAACCCAATTTCACCTCACCATTGTCATACCTTCGTCAAATCATTGCTATATCATTATCATACCATTGTCATACCTTCGACAAATCATTGCTAAATCATTATCATACCATTGTCATACTTTAACCATACTATTGTACCTTTGTCAAACCGTTGCTTTATCATTGTAATCGGGGGTCACCCTTTTTGTTCTATGGAGATGGAGGAGGGGCCATCAATTTTGTACACATGTACTAGGGGGGTCAGTAAGTTTGTACATAAATTTATCAAAATATTGTGCTTAAAAATTATGGGAAGGGTTGCAGGGGGTAATTGATTTTGTACATGACATGCTGGAGGGTGGGGAGGGCACTTAATTTGTACATAAATGTTTAGGGGGGTCATTCACATTGTACATGCTTCTCCATAAAAATCATCATCACCCCTCTAGCCATAAATTATGAACGGTCCCTAATTCAGTATTCCACTGTGTATGTGATATTCTAGTTGAATGTAATGATTGATACACTTATTGCAGAGGCACGCCAGCCCTACAAGGGCTCTGTATTTACCCTGCTGACGAGTATGGAGGTGTGGGTCACGTGCTTCTCTATATTCTGTGGATCTTTTTCCCTGGGGTTCCTGGACCCCACTCTGGCCTCTCATCTCCAGGAGGTGAGTAGAGCCTGCACCCCGCCAGGCTCGGTGAATCCCATACCATCATCAGCTGGGGGATCTGAGTTTGCTGTATGGCATTCTGAGTGAACAGTCCTAGTTTTGTCATCTGATTCCACATTGATTCTACAATATTATTTTTCGACTAATACTCAAACTTATGTGGGGAAGTATAAAATTGGTCTGTTCTCAAGCATCCCTAGACCATGTTTATTAGTAAAGTGAAACCAACTAATAATACTTGAAATCATTTAAATTATGTTTTTCAACTTTTCTGGTAGTTTATGTGTTTTGAAAATAAAATCTGTATACCAGGTAAATCAATGGCCATTTTCTGAGTGCATTTTTCTGTTGTAGTTCAACCTGAGTACCTTGGTCGTCGGATTCATCTTCCTGGCGGCTCCAGCAGTGTACGGTTTCACAGCCCCCATCTGGGGCTGGGTCGGCGATGCCAAGGTAATACTACTCACCAACCACTGTCAAGGCCTAGTGACGTAATTCACTCGGCAGAGTTGTCTCCCTTAGTTGTTCCATGATGGCTGATCAGTGGGATTCAAATCTCTTATTTCAATCTTTGGTCTGTCAGAGACATCAACTTGGGTGTGACGTTTGCTGTAAACATCTGACATGTGGGACTTCCTCCTACATTAAGTTGGTATGATGAATGTAATACCTTTCAAAATAATATTCATAAATAGAACTATCCTAAATAGCGTCATTGAAATAGTTCCTGAATGAGTGTGGTTTTATGCCACGTTTTGCAATATTTCAGAAATATTATATCAGTGGGATTGTCTGGTCCAGACTCAATTAGTTACAGACCACTGCCATATAGCTGGAAAATTGCTGAGTGCGACGTAAAACTCAACTCACTCACTCACTATATCTGTCGACCCTAGAAATGGCTCCACACCTTGTCTCCATGTTGGGAATTGAACCCTGGTCTTAAGAGTGGAAAGGGAAAGCTATAATCACTGGGCCACCCCACATGAATACATAAACAAGAACTCAGCTGCTAATGTTAAAGTCCAGTTAATGAGAACCTGTGTGGGAATACGTCACCAGCATTCTGTTGTTTTAACATAACAGGTCGCTTAACTGTATGTTGTGGTCAAACTTGGTGGATTGTGTGTCATCATACCCTGACTGCATGTAATGGTGCTCATTATATCAACCACTGGTTTATCTGGTCACAGTTTGAAAAGCCACTGTGGTATGGATGAAATATAGCTGACTGTGATATTAAATATAAATAACATTCAGTCTTCATTATATTTAGTGAGTGTGTTTAGTTTCATGCTACTTTTAGCAATATTTCAGCACCCATGTGGGGAATCGAACCCGGTTCTTCAGTGTGATGAGCAGACCCTTTAACCACTGGGCTACCCCACTGCCCTTTCATTATATTTAAGAACATAAAAGATATTTTTTCAGGATATTTTGACAAATCTACTTGCCCCAGTTCATCCTGACAAAACAATAGGGAAAGAAATATGTACGTTTTTGTCTTATCTGTACATTAGACTGTTGTATTATCACATGTTGAGGACCATGGGCACTATCTGATTTCTATGATGTATATTTGATGAAAGTACAGACTGCCACACCAGCACAAAACCTTTGCTAAAGTGATTATCATTTTGGAAAAAAACCAAATTCCATGCTTGTCCATGATATTCCTACTGATCTTGAGGTTGGTAGCCAACTAACAGTACCTGTTTGATGCCAGGGTCAGATCAAGTCTCTGATGGTGGTGGGGAACTTCATGTCCTGCGTTGCCTTCCTCCTGATGGGCCCCTGCCCGCTGCTGCCCCCGCTGTGAGTACATACCCTTCCTGCCATCAGAAAACTGACGCATGCAACATGTCCTTACATAAATCATTGTGACTATACAGAAAACTGTTAAACATGCAACTAGACACCCAATGTACATAAATCATTGAGACTATACGCAGTATGCATCAGTCTGTTAGTATGTCTCATTTCACAAATGTTTACATCAAATACCATCACATGGTTTTTAAAATTCTTCAAATCTACAATTTTGTTAAACTTGAAATTAGATAGAAAAACATTTTTGACAAAATATGTTTTTCACCTGAATCAATAATCTTTTGATATCTTAAAATGTAAATCCTGGTATGTTTTTTTCAATTATACTTAGTAGTATGCAATTGAATCTGGAATTTTGAAAATGTTACCTGCACCAAGTGCAACTTGGCTTATTAGTTTTGCTGCACCATCAAAAGTTTGGTAGCGCTATGAAATAATGTCACTGGTTCTAAAAAGTAACATAAATACTTGCTTGTATCAGATACATTCAACAGAACCAAACCACATAATGATAAATGATGAATAATTCTGTAAACTTTCAGTTTAGCATAACGTTTATCAAAGCTCAGATTATATGATCATGTGTTAGACTGACTCTATCACTGGAGATTTGCTTACGCTTATCGCCACTGGATTTATTAGGCACCAACATTATCGGCAGATGTCTGACTGTAAGGTGCTTCCTAAGTTAGATCTATTTATCACCTTATCATTCATGTAGTTGAAAAGTCAGGGAACATTTTTGATGACTTAAAGCACTGCCCCCTGCCATTAAACATCACTTCATTGTGTGCTCATAACACCACCTCCGCATTTACTACCATGAAGACAAGCAGACACCAAAATGTGTGGACTGATTTTTCAGTACATAAATGTTTCTGCTTGTAACAAGTCATGCGGAGAGAAACATATTATTCCTGTCACTTACTTCCCAATTAAAACACGATGACAGCAATAAGATGTTACCTGCATCGAGTGCAACCTGTTACTAAAGATAACCTGCACCAACCATTTCTAACATGCACCAGTGCAGGTTGTATATATCGCACCCTGAAAGTCCTTTATAACATTCACTATTTCTAAGTAGGAGGGTGGTCCGATTTTGTTTCATCTTTTCTGTCAGAGTTAAATAAATTCAAACAAACTAACTCCATAACATATATTATGTTTCTACACACATTTGTTTCTCTGCAGTACATTGTGGCTAAATGTGATCAGCTTGATGATGGTTGGGCTCTTTGTTGGTTGTGCCCTCATACCTACCATAACCTGCCTTCTCGTTGCTGCCAGGTGAGTAGATCAGCTGTTATTAGGGTTATAACCCACCTTCTGGGTGACCAGTAAGTAAATAACTGTCATTGGGGTTATAACCTACCTTCTGGGTGACCAGTAAGTAGATAACTGTCATTGGGGTTATACCCTACCTTCTGGGTGACCAGTAAGTAGATAACTGTCATTGGGGATATAACCTACCTTGTGGGTGACCAGTAAGTACACAACTGTCATTGGGGTAATAACTCACCTTGTGGGTGACCAGTAAGTAGATAACTATCATTGGGGATATAACCTACCTTGTGGGTGACCAGTAAGTAGATAACTGTCATTGGGGATATAACCTACCTTGTGGGTGACCAGTAAGTAGATAACTGTCATTGGGGATATAACCTACCTTGTGGGTGACCAGTAAGTAGATAACTGTCATTGGGGATATAACCTACCTTGTGGGTGACCAGTAAGTAGATAACTGTCATTGGGGATATAACCTACCTTGTGGGTGACCAGTAAAGTAGACAACTCTCATTGGGGATATAACCCACCTTGTGGGTGACCAGTAAGTAGACAACTGTCATTGGGGATATAATCACCTTGGGTGACCAGGGGATATAATATAACATTACCACCTTGTGTGGGTGACCAGTAAGTAGATAACATTGGGGATATCATTGGGGATATAACCTACCTTGTGGGTGACCAGTAAGTAGATAACTGTCATTGGGGATATAACCTACCTTGTGGGTGACCAGTAAGTAGATAACTGTCATTGGGGATATAACCTACCTTGTGGGTGACCAGTAAGTAGACAACTCTCATTGGGGATATAACTTACCTTGTGGGTGACCAGTAAGTAGACAACTCTCATTGGGGATATAACCTACCTTGTGGGTGACCAGTAAGTAGATAACTGTCATTGGGGATATACCCTACCTTGTGGGTGACCAGTAAGTAGACAACTCTCATTCAGGTTATGACCTACCTTGTGGATGACCACTAAGTAGACAACTCTCATTGGGGATATAACCTACCTTGTGGGTGACCAGTAAGTAGATAACTGTCATTGGGGATATAACCTACCTTGTGGGTGACCAGTAAGTACACAACTGTCATTGGGGTAATAACTCACCTTGTGGGTGACCAGTAAGTAGACAACTATCATTGGGGATATAACCTACCTTCTGGGTGACCAGTAAGTAGATAACTGTCATTGGGGATATACCCTACCTTGTGGGTGACCAGTAAGTAGATAACTGTCATTGGGGATATAACCTACCTTGTGGGTGACCAGTAAGTAGATAACTGTCATTGGGGATATAACCTACCTTGTGGGTGACCAGTAAGTAGATAACTGTCATTGGGGATATAACCTACCTTGTGGGTGACCAGTAAGTAGACAACTCTCATTGGGGATATAACCTACCTTGTGGGTGACCAGTAAGTAGATAACTGTCATTGGGGATATAACCTACCTTGTGGGTGACCAGTAAGTAGATAACTGTCATTGGGGATATACCCTACCTTGTGGGTGACCAGTAAGTAGACAACTCTCATTGGGGATATAACCTACCTTGTGGGTGACCAGTAAGTAGATAACTGTCATTGGGGATATAACCTACCTTGTGGGTGACCAGTAAGTAGATAACTGTCATTGGGGATATAACCCACCTTGTGGGTGACCAGTAAGTAGACAACTCTCATTGGGGATATAACCCATCTTCTGGGTGACCAGTAAGTAAATAACTGTCATTGGGGATATACCCTACCTTGTGGGTGATCAGTAAGTAGATAACTGTCATTGGGGATATACCCTACCTTGTGGGTGACCAGTAAGTAGATAACTGTCATTGGGGATATAACCTACCTTGTGGGTGACCAGTAAGTAGATAACTGTCATTGGGGTTATAACCTACCTTGTGGGTGACCAGTAAGTACACAACTGTCATTGGGGATATAACCTACCTTGTGGGTGACCAGTAAGTAGATAACTCTCATTTGGGATATAACCTACCTTGTGGGTGACCAGTAAGTAGATAACTGTCATTGGGGATATAACCTACCTTGTGGGTGACCAGTAAGTAGATAACTCTCATTGGGGATATAACCTTGTGGGTACCTTGTGGGTGACCAGTAAGTAGATAACTGTCATTGGGGATATAACCTACCTTGTGGGTGACCAGTAAGTAGATAACTCTCATTGGGGATATAACCTACCTTGTGGGTGACCAGTAAGTAGACAACTCTCATTCAGGTTATGACCTACCTTGTGGATGACCACTAAGTAGACAACTCTCATTGGGGATATAACCTACCTTGTGGGTGACCAGTAAGTAGATAACTGTCATTGGGGATATAACCTACCTTGTGGGTGACCAGTAAGTAGACAACTGTCATTGGGGATATAACTTACCTTGTGGGTGACCAGTAAGTAGATATAACTACCTTCATTGGGGATATAAACCTACCTTGTGGGTGACCAGTAAGTAGATAACTGTCATTGGGGATATACCCTACCTTGTGGGTGACCAGTAAGTAGATAACTGTCATTGGGGATATAACCTACCTTGTGGGTGACCAGTAAGTAGATAACTGTCATTGGGGATATACCCTACCTTGTGGGTGACCAGTAAGTAGACAAGTCTCATTGGGGATATAACCTACCTTGTGGGTGACCAGTAAGTAGATAACTCTCATTGGGGATATAACCTACCTTGTGGGTGACCAGTAAGTAGATAACTGTCATTGGGGATATACCCTACCTTGTGGGTGACCAGTAAGTAGACAACTCTCATTGGGGATATAACCTACCTTGTGGGTGACCAGTAAGTAGATAACTGTCATTGGGGATATAACCTACCTTGTGGGTGACCAGTAAGTAGATAACTGTCATTGGGGATATAACCCACCTTGTGGGTGACTAGTAAGTAGACAACTCTCATTGGGGATATAACCCATCTTCTGGGTGACCAGTAAGTAAATAACTGTCATTGGGGATATACCCTACCTTGTGGGTGATCAGTAAGTAGATAACTGTCATTGGGGATATACCCTACCTTGTGGGTGACCAGTAAGTAGATAACTGTCATTGGGGATATAACCTACCTTGTGGGTGACCAGTAAGTAGATAACTGTCATTGGGGTTATAACCTACCTTGTGGGTGACCAGTAAGTACACAACTGTCATTGGGGATATAACCTACCTTGTGGGTGACCAGTAAGTAGATAACTCTCATTTGGGATATAACCTACCTTGTGGGTGACCAGTAAGGACAACTCTCATTAACTGTCATTGGGGATATAACCTACCTTGTGGGTGACCAGTAAGTAGATAACTGTCATTGGGGATATAACCTACCTTGTGGGTGACCAGTAAGTAGATAACTGTCATTGGGGATATAACCTACCTTGTGGGTGACCAGTAAGTAGATAACTGTCATTGGGGATATAACCTACCTTGTGGGTGACCAGTAAGTAGTCAACTATAACCTATTGTGGGGGGTATAACTCATTGGGGATATAACCTACCTTTGTGGGTGACCAGTAAGTAGATAACAACTCTCATTGGGGATATAACCTACCTTGTGGGTGACCAGTAAGTAGATAACTGTCATTGGGGATATAACCTACCTTGTGGGTGACCAGTAAGTAGACAACTCTCATTCAGGTTATGACCTACCTTGTGGATGACCACTAAGTAGACAACTCTCATTGGGGATATAACCTACCTTGTGGGTGACCAGTAAGTAGATAACTGTCATTGGGGATATAACCTACCTTGTGGGTGACCAGTAAGTAGATAACTGTCATTGGGGATATAACCTACCTTGTGGGTGACCAGTAAGTAGATAACTGTCATTGGGGATATAACCTACCCTACCTTGTGGGTGACCAGTAAGTAGATAACTGTCATTGGGGATATAACCTACCTTGTGGGTGACCAGGTGACCAGTAAGTAGATAACTCTCATTGGGATATAACCACCTTGTGGGTGACCAGTAAGTAGATAACTGTCATTGGGGATATAACCTACCTTGTGGGTGACCAGTAAGTAGACAACTCTCATTGGGGATATAACCTACCTTGTGGGTGACCAGTAAGTAGATAACTGTCATTGGGGATATAACCTACCTTGTGGGTGACCAGTAAGTAGACAACTCTCATTGGGGATATAACCTACCTTGTGGGTGACCAGTAAGTAGATAACTGTCATTGGGGATATACCCTACCTTGTGGGTGACCAGTAAGTAGATAACTGTCATTGGGGATATAACCTACCTTGTGGGTGACCAGTAAGTAGATAACTCTCATTGGGGATATAACCTACCTTGTGGGTGACCAGTAAGTAGATAACTGTCATTGGGGATATAACCTACCTTGTGGGTGACCAGTAAGTAGACAACTGTCATTGGGGATATAACTTACCTTGTGGGTGACCAGTAAGTAGATAACTGTCATTGGGGATATACCCTACCTTGTGGGTGACCAGTAAGTAGATAACTGTCATTGGGGATATAACCTACCTTGTGGGTGACCAGTAAGTAGATAACTGTCATTGGGGATATAACCTACCTTGTGGGTGACCAGTAAGTAGACAACAACTCTCATTGGGTGGTAATATAACCTACCTTGTGTGGGTGACCAGTAAGTCAGATAACTGTCATTGGGGATATAACCTACCTTGTGGGTGACCAGTAAGTAGATAACTGTCATTGGGGATATAACCTACCTTGTGGGTGACCAGTAAGTAGACAACTGACCAGTAAGTCATTGGGGATATAACCTACCTTGTGGGTGACCAGTAAGTAGATAACTGTCATTGGGGATATACCCTACCTTGTGGGTGACCAGTAAGTAGATAACTGTCATTGGGGATATAACCTACCTTGTGGGTGACCAGTAAGTAGACAACTCTCATTGGGGATATAACCTACCTTGTGGGTGACCAGTAAGTAGATAACTGTCATTGGGGATATAACCTACCTTGTGGGTGACCAGTAAGTAGATAACTGTCATTGGGGATATAACCTACCTTGTGGGTGACCAGTAAGTAGACAACTCTCATTGGGGATATAACCAATCTTCTGGGTGACCAGTAAGTAAATAACTGTCATTGGGGTTATACCCTACCTTGTGGGTGACCAGTAAGTAGATAACATTGGGGTTATACCCTCATTGGGGATATAAGATAACCTTGTGGGGCCAGGTATATACATCACCTGTTATTGGGCATATAACCTGACTCCTTAACGGTACCAAGTAAGTAGACAAGCTATTATTGAGGTTATCACCTACCTTCTGGGTGACCAGTAAGTAGATTAGCTGTTTTTCATTTGTAACGGTGAATGCTAAAATAATATTAATATATATTTTTTCAGGAGACTTGGATTTAAAGAAAATTTAGACACTTATGCTCTAGTCTCTGGGCTTTTCAATTCAGCGTACTGTTTGGGGTGAGTATTAATGTAAGCTTTTTCACTAATATATGTATCACAGTAATAACTATCCTTATTTTAGGCAGTTAATGGAAAATGTCTTAATATATTGTATCAATTACATGCTATCTTCATGTTTTGTTTGCATATTTTTTTTACCCTTTTAGTTAAATATTTCAGGAAACATCTCAGGTGAGCTGCAGAGTCTGGTTCTATGTATTTTATTGTAACATCCGTTGTTGTATTTCAGGACATTTGTAGGCCCCACACTTGGTGGAGTGTTAAAGGAACACTTCGGCTTTGGCTGGGCATCCTCATTAGTAGCTGCTATGTTTCTGTTGGCCGTAAGTATACCTTGTTACCTTGAGTTACCTTGTACAGCACAATGTGCTGTGTGTTTTGTTGGCCGTAAGTATACCTTGTTACCTTGAGTTACCTTGTACAGCACAATGTGCTGTGTGTTTCTGTTGGCCGTAAGTATACCTTGTTACCTTGAGTTACCTTGTACAGCACAATGTGCTGTGTGTTGGCCCGTAGCATACCTTGTTACCTTGAGTTACCTTGTACAGCACAATGTGCTGTGTGTTTTGTTGGCCGTAAGTATACCTTGTTACCTTGAGTTACCTTGTACAGCACAATGTGCTGTGTGTTTTGTTGGCCGTAAGTATACCTTGTTACCTTGAGTTACCTTGTACAGCACAATGTGCTGTGTGTTTTAATTGTGCCGTAAGTATACCTTGTTACCTTGAGTTACCTTGTACAGCACAATGTGCTGTGTGTTTTGTTGGCCGTAAGTATACCTTGTTACCTTGAGTTACCTTGTACAGCACAATGTGCTGTGTGTTTTGTTGGCCGTAAGTATACCTTGTTACCTTGAGTTACCTTGTACAGCACAATGTGCTGTGTGTTTTGTTGGCCGTAAGTATACCTTGTTACCTTGAGTTACCTTGTACAGCACAATGTGCTGTGTGTTTTATTGGCCGTAAGTATACCTTGTTACCTTGAGTTACCTTGTACAGCACAATGTGCTGTGTGTTTTTGTTGGCGTAAGTATACCTTGTTACCTTGAGTTACCTTGTACAGCACAATGTGCTGTGTGTTTTGTTGGCCGTAAGTATACCTTGTTACCTTGAGTTACCTTGTACAGCACAATGTGCTGTGTGTTTTGTTGGCCGTAAGTATACCTTGTTACCTTGAGTTACCTTGTACAGCACAATGTGCTGTGTGTTTTGTTGGTCGTAAGTATACCTTGTTACCTTGAGTTACCTTGTACAGCACAATGTGCTGTGTGTTTTGTTGGCCGTAAGTATACCTTGTTACCTTGAGTTACCTTGTACAGCACAATGTGCTGTGTGTTTTGTTGGCCGTAAGTATACCTTGTTACCTTGAGTTACCTTGTACAGCACAATGTGCTGTGTGTTTTGTTGGCCGTAAGTATACCTTGTTACCTTGAGTTACCTTGTACAGCACAATGTGCTGTGTGTTTTGTTGCCTTGTGGGACCGTGAGGTAGCCTAGTGGTTAAAGCGTTTGCTTGTGACGCCAAAGACCCAGGTTCGATTCCACACATGGGTACAATGTGTGGAGCACATTTCTGGTATTCCGCATGTGATATTGCTGGAATATTGTTAAATGCGACGTAAAAGTATAGTCACTCAATTTTGTTACCTTGCACAGCACATTGTATATATTTTTGTTTAATGCTGAACTAATATTCAACTAAATGATAGTGGCATGTAAATAGCCAAGACTGGATCAGACAACTGCCAGTTAATATTTTTAGGCATATGCCATGCTGTACAATGGCAAGTAGAAGACCAAGCCGTAATGTCTCAACACCTGATCGATCTTGCCACAGTGCCCTACAAGAATATGTTTCTTTCCAAGTGGGGATTATGAATCCTTGTCTGTCAGCACCAAATCTGTGCTTGTTGGTTTCACCAGACCTGTGCCAGTGGGTTTCACTAAACCTGTGCCAGTGGGTTTCACCAAACCTGTGCCAGTGGGTTTCACTAAACCTGTGCCAGTGGGTTTCACTAAACCTGTGCCAGTGGGTTTCACCAAACCTGTGCCAGTGGGTTTCACTAAACCTGTGCCAGTGGGTTTCACTAAACCTGTGCCAGTGGGTTTCACCAAACATGTGCCAGTGGGTTTCACAAAACATGTGCCAGTGGGTTTGTGTGTTATCAACCAAACCTTTGGATATGTATTTCACCACAGTTCTGCTTTTATAAACCTGTGCTTCTGGGATATTAACCAAACCTGTGGTTATGGATTTCACCAAGCATGTGCTTGTGGCTTCACAAACCTGGGTTTGTTTTCTTTATTCAACCTCTAACAACCACAGGCACACTCATGGAGATATGCTCATTAAACACAGTGTACACAAAGTATTGAAGTCAGTTATAATATTACATCAAAAGTAGGATATAACATCATTGCCAGGTTGCCATGTTTGTTTCAGGGTATAAATCTGTCGCTGTTTATATGCTGCACAAAGCCCTGCTGTTGCCGTGGTGACAAAAGAAGTGAATACACAATATTAGAAGGGTCCAATGACTCGACACCCATAGGAGGGTCACTGGAGGAAACTAGAGCATGATATTGGACTGGTTTTCACAAGTCTAAAAGCCAGACCAATTGGTTGATTGTATTAAGGGCAAATCTGCTCAAACAATTAAAAGTCTATCAAACAATTAAATCTGCTCTTACTTAAAGTAGTACCCAAACTGTAAATATTTATATTTCAACGGTCTGTTGTTTTTTGTTCCCAGGTACATCAAATGAGACATCTGTATAAAATACATATACACATCTTCTAACCCTGTGAATTTGAAAGTGAAAATATAATCTGAAAAATCTTCTTTTCACTTGGGGAAATTTTCTTCTTCATCTCTACAATAACACTGCCTGCACACACAACAAATTCATTAACCAATCAGATGATGGCCTTCATCCAACATGTGGGATGCTACGGAAAGCTCTGACCAATGAGGGAACAGATTGAAACAAGACAACATTCACTACTACACAGCATGTGTATATATGTCTGGCAGTATGTATTGAGTGTATGCAAGCCATTATGTACTGATGATGACTGGAAAGTAGACTTAAGGTAGCTGAGTGCACTGGCATATATATATATTTATATAAACATTTATTCATGAGACACAGATGAGCTGTAATTCTTTGTTCATTATTGTGCTCATTAATTAGTTTTCTTCTTTGTCTTCTATACACTAGTAATGAAAACAAGTCATGTTGAACATACACTGAAGTCCCTGTATTGTTCAGCTAATCTGTTTTTGATGTCATAAACAATAGATGAAGCGGTGGAAATCCATGATGCTTCAACTGACCAATCAGAATTGGCAATCACTTCACACATGCACATATCAGACTGTAATTACAGATCCTGGTGGCCAGTACTAACATATATCGTCTGACTAAACTATCCTACATACAGCACTCACCAAAATTTCACTCAGAGGTGGATGTGTTTGTGACATTTTTATACACACAACAACCCCATTTCTGTGACATAGCAATATTGACATACTGTCATATAACATATTATCCCCTGCAAGCATATCATCTTGATGTGTCTCTTATGACGCCCAAGATGAGCAACAGTGCCTCTGTGCTAATCATTCCTTGATGGTGAAATACACTTTATTATAGGATACACATAAAATTGATGGACAAAAGGGAAACAGCCAATGAAATGTCTCAAATGTATATTGCAAGGCAGTTAATTTGTTTAATGTGTTCAACAATTCTAGTTATACAGAGACCACAAATATATATATATATATATCTTATATTTATATTACCAAAATATACTCAGAATATTGTATTTTTTCAGATGTCTTTTTTTTCATTATCCATGTAACTCTGTCGATAATTACTGGTAGTAATTTCAATACATTTATGTTGTGTTATATATCTGTTATGTGTATATGTGAGATGTGTTTAACTCAGACAAATGTTTTGAAACAATTTTAATGTCTGTAGGTTTTCTAATAGTCGTGTTCTCCTGTATTTATCTGCTACACCATTTTTACCAAGTTGTTTTTTACCAGTATTCTTTTAACAGGCTGCTCATTAGGGCTGGGGCGGGTAATCCGGATAACCGAGGACGGTAGGGTAATGAGTTGGACCCGGGTACCCGTCTCAATACCCAGACCCGTTATGATGATGTGACTAATATAGATTAAACAATGTAATATATTATTCTTTCATGATTAAGATGGTGAATACCATCTTTAGATTTAGACATAATTTACAGTCACTTCTTTTGAATATTATACATGGTTAAGATATTGAAAAACGTGAAATTTTAGCCTCAGAGCTGAAGAATATATTGCCATTTCTTGCAAATTTGATGTCAGGAATTAACATAACGGGTATGCGGGTAGGGTAATTGGGGGTGGGGTACCCGGGTAGAAAATTTGGACCCATCCCAGCCCTACTGCTCATGTCCCAATTCTGACATTTTACCTTGATTGATCTCGAAGACAGCCAGTCCAAGCAGCATTCTTCTGTATATATTGACATGACTTCTGGGTGTTTAGGGGCATTAAACAAGATAGGTAGTTCTTCCAGGTAGATGTCCAAAGGGAAGATGGAAGAAATGTCCCTGGTCCAACAAGAGTTGTTGAGACATGGCTCAGTGGGTGGCATGTTGCAATTACTGGATCAATGCCCATGTGTTCAGCTGTTTGTCTTGTCCAGACTTGATAATTTACAGGATGCAGTGATGTAGCTGGAATACTGCTGACTGCAACAGCATTCATTTAACCAGATTGTACTTATTTACACTTATTGAGATAATTTCTGTCTTGAAATTTGAGTGCGGCGTAAAACTAAACTCACTCACTCACTCACTGTCTTGAAATTCTGCGCATTTTGAGAGCATGGTCTAGGAAAATACTCAGCCACACACCTATTGTCTCCAACTGTTGAGGTAATATGTGAACACACACCTATTGTCTCTAACTGTTGAGGTAATATGTGAACACATACCTATTGTCTCTAACTGTTGAGGTAATATGTGAACACATACCTATTGTCTCTAACTGTTGAGGTAATATGTGAACACATACCTATTGTCTCTAACTGTTGAGGTAATATGTGAACACATACCTATTGTCTCCAACTGTTGAGGTAATATGTGAACACATACCTATTGTCTCCAACTGTTGAGGTAATATGTGAACACATACCTATTGTCTCCAACTGTTGAGGTAATATGTGAACACATACCTATTGTCTCCAACTGTTGAGGTAATATGTGAACACACACTTATTGTCTCCAACTGTTGAGGTAATATGTGAACACATACCTATTGTCTCTAACTGTTGAGGTAATATGTGAACACATACCTATTGTCTCTAACTGTTGAGGTAATATGTGAACACATACCTATTGTCTCTAACTGTTGAGGTAATATGTGAACACATACCTATTGTCTGTTGAGGTAACTGTTTGCCTCCAGTTGTATGTAATATGTGAACACATACCTATTGTCTCTAACTGTTGAGGTAATATGTGAACACATACCAATTGTCTCTAACTGTTGAGGTAATATGTGAACACATACCTATTGTCTCCAACTGTTGAGGTAATATGTGAACACATACCTATTGTCTCTAACTGTTGAGGTAATATGTGAACACACACTTATTGTCTCCAACTGTTGAGGTAATATGTGAACACATACCTATTGTCTCTAACTGTTGAGGTAATATGTGAACACATACCTATTGTCTCTAACTGTTGAGGTAATATGTGAACACATACCTATTGTCTCCAACTGTTGAGGTAATATGTGAACACATACCTATTGTCTCCAACTGTTGAGGTAATATGTGAACACATACCTATTGTCTCCAACTGTTGAGGTAATATGTGAACACACACCTATTGTCTCCAACTGTTGAGGTAATATGTGAACACACACCTATTGTCTCCAACTGTTGAGGTAATATGTGAACACATACCTATTGTCTCCAACTGTTGAGGTAATATGTGAACACATACCTATTGTCTCTAACTGTTGAGGTAATATGTGAACACATACCTATTGTCTCTAACTGTTGAGGTAATATGTGAACACATACCTATTGTCTCCAACTGTTGAGGTAATATGTGAACACATACCTATTGTCTCTAACTGTTGAGGTAATATGTGAACACATACCTATTGTCTCCAACTGTTGAGGTAATATGTGAACACATACCTATTGTCTCCAACTGTTGAGGTAATATGTGAACACACACCTATTGTCTCCAACTGTTGAGGTAATATGTGAACACACACCTATTGTCTCCAACTGTTGAGGTAATATGTGAACACATACCTATTGTCTCTAACTGTTGAGGTAATATGTGAACACATACCTATTGTCTCCAACTGTTGAGGTAATCTGTGAACTCATACCTATTGTCTCCAACTGTTGAGGTAATATGTGAACACACCAACACTTAATTGTCTCTAACTGTTGAGGTAGGTAATATGTGAACACATACCTATTGTATCCAACTGTTGAGGTAATATGTGAACACATACCTATTGTCTCTAACTGTTGAGGTAATATGTGAACACATACCTATTGTCTCCAACTGTTGAGGTAATCTGTGAACTCATACCTATTGTCTCCAACCGTTGAAATAATATGTGAACACACACCAACTGTTTCCAACTGTTGAGGTAATATGTGAACACACACCTATTGTCTCCAACTGTTGAGGTAATATGTGAACACATACCTATTGTTTCTAACTGTTGAGGTAATATGTGAACACATACCTATTGTCTCCAACCGTTGAGGTAATATGTGAACTCATACCTATTGTCTCCAATTGTTGAAATAATATGTGAACACACACCAATTGTTTCAACTTGTGGGGTAATATGTGAACACACACCTATTGTTTGCAACTGTTTTGTTGATATGTGAATGTCTCCAACTTTGATATTTATCCCATGTATTTGTTATTGTTGCACGACATTGTTTTGTTTTAGGTTGTGCAATGTGTATCATCTTCTGGGATCCAGGGTATAATGTATCCATGTAATGATTTAAGACACCCTGCATCTACTCACAACCATAACTTACTAACAGTAACACCCTATTTGTTTGGCCTTGATTGTTTACATGGTGTAAGTGTATGCCTTGGTTAGTGATGATTTCAAAGTCTGATGAAGAGGTAATGTATTTAAAATATTTTTTGATCTGATTATAATAAAACAATTTTCTGGTGCTGATGCTCTTAAGTCATGTCTCCATATTTCCTAGTTCATAAAATTAAGGGTAGAATTAAATATGATGTACTGCCAATTAAGCATCCAATTAAATGTTTTATCTTCAACATATAATGTTTTCTGTTGTTTTAAATATACCAATAAATCAATTTATGTAAATGGAATACTCTATGAATAAAGGTACATGTATTATGTTCCATTAATCAAAGAATCGTAATCAGAACTTATAATTTAACTAAAAAGCATTTATGTCTTTTCATATTTGCGTATTCTTGCCTCTGTCATATCCTTGGTCATATGGTATGTGTGGTGCAAATACAGATGTTTAAATAATTGTTTATTTGTAATTATGATAAATAATACAGCCATTATCTCTTTAAGTCTGTGTAAATCCAAAAGTCTTTCACTATATGAACCACTTTTGCCTTCTTCATGCATATAATTTGACTGTCTGAAATTGCAAACCGAATAGATTTTGTTTCAGTGTATGATGTTGCATAATTTGTTGTTGTGTTAAACTTGTTTCCTGTTTTTTACCTCTCAGGAGCAGTCCAATGTGATAATTATTTTTCATGGAAATCCTTCCTCGACATATTTTCAGTCTACAGACCCACCAAGCAAAGAGTGAAAGACTAATATTTTAAGAATTCAGAGACAAGAAAGACATGATTTATGGAAACTGTATACTGCTTTACTCTGTGTGAAATGAAGGATGAAAGCCATAATTGGTCGTTTATATATTATACTTATGTATAAAGGTTAGATTTATAATGCTGTATCTGAAACATCCTTCAGACACTTGTTAATCACTTGATTCACATTTTTTATGAAAAGCATTAGGACTGGAGGTCAGATTATACCAAACATAATCATGCAAGCATCATTGATGGTGTGAAAGTAGGAACAACTGTAAAGTATAATTTGGACAAATCGTAGGGTTACTTCCCATCCTCTTTGCCTCTCTACCCATGATGGTCCGGGTTAGAATATTGGCCTTCAGTAACCCATGCTTGTCGTAAGAGGCGACTAACGTGATCGGGTCAGGCTCGCTGACTTGGTTGACACGTACACGGTTCCCAATTGCGTAGATCGATGCTCATGCTGTTGATCACTGGATTGTCTGATCCAGACTCAATTATTTACAGACCACCGCCATATAGCTGGAATATTGATGAGTGTGGTGTAAAACTAAACTCGCTCACTAAGTTCCTCTTTAGAATAATAAACAGACATTGAGACCACATGTCATTCCTTTGATAATACCTACAAGCACTACCTCAAACCTGTCTGATGATAGTTTTAGACCTTGTAGTGATACCAGTTATGGTAGTACAAGCTGTAGGTGATAGTGATAGTAAAGTACTGTCAGAAATAGAAAAAGACTGTATTTTCTCATTTATCTCTACAATTTATGTAGTTGATATGTGAAAGTGTGATATATCTGTTAAACTAAGTTCGGCCTAACTACAGTCTCAGTGGTAGGGAGAAAGGAAACGTAGAAAAAGGACTTTACTGAGGAGAGATTATAGTTTGGCATGAAATGCATGTGGACCCGTTTTTTTGTAAATATCTCTTCATCCAATGACCCAATCGATCTCAAACTGTGCAAGTGGGTGTTTTGTCAGACAACCTAATCACATTGTAAATCACCGATTTTATGCATTTGTATTAAAGAATCTGTCTATGTAACTGTCAACAAAATAAACAGCAGAACGCAGAAGGCTTGCAGAGGGAGGGAGCCAATGACCTGTAACAGCGGTAGTGTTGGGTCATAAAGGTAAATGCACGTGCAGTTCATGATAGTTACCTGTGCACTGCGCAGTGATCGACCGTCTGGATCATTCACATTGACTACTTCTAGCTGTCATCATGAAAGCTTATTCAGATGATGCTAAACGTTTAATTAGCAATGTGTTTAATTTTTTTTTAAAAGAGAGCAAACGTAGCAAACCGATTTATAAGGTGTCGGATTACATGAAACGTACAACTTTTGCTCTTGGCATGAAAAAGAACATCGTGCTAACAACTGTGAAAAATAAACCAACAACCAATCAACAAAACCT